CCCAGTTGGCAGGTCCCCCACCTCGGTGCTGCGCATGGGCAGAGATGCCGGGGCGGGGTAGGGCCTAGGCTGGTCCTGAGGGTGGGGCCCCCTTGCTCTTGGCGTCAGGTCCTGGGTTCACTGCTGCTGTGGCTGAGGCCTCTGCAGCCTGAGACACGGTTTCCTCCCGCAGAGCCGGTACAGAATCCTCTGGCCTCGGTGGATTTAGGAGTGGCACCCCCAAGCCGCATGCCCACTCCTGCACCCCCTCACCGTGTGCTGCCCAACGCCTCGCGCTCACTTCCTCTCTTTCCCTCTGGACGGAGATGGCTGCAAGTGTTTTTGCTCCATCTCTGTTTCCCAGCCGAGAACATCCTGTCTGAGACCAGTGACCCCTCAGACATCTTCCTCCAGGCCTCTGACTGCGCCGTGCCTTCCACCACCCATGCCTGCCTTCCTTCCTCTCTTTCCTTGTGTGCCTTCCTCAGCCTCCTGCAGCTCTGACCACACGTGGCACTTACTGCTGTGTACAATCTCAGTTTGCCTCACCGGATGTGGAAGAGCGAGGAGCCACATTTGGGAGGCCTTGGGCGTGCTAGGCACCGTGAGGAGCATTAATCCACCCACCTTGCCCTGCCCATACACCGGAGGAGTAATGGGGTCACCATGCCGCCTGCCTGAGCCGGGCCTTCTGAAGTTGGGAGAGAGAGGTACCCTGCCTGGACCACTCAGCAGAAGCCAAGCTCTCAGAATCCAACTTGAACTCCGATTTCCAGCGATGGACGCAGGAGATCAGACCTCTGCCTGGCATTTAACCCCTCTGATCTGCTCACCCTTGGCGCTTGGCTTGGTGCCCGGCACATAGGAGCATCTCACTCAACATCTGCTCAGAGACTACACCCTGCATGTCCACATCCTCATACCCAGGCGGCTGCCTCTGGCATCCTCGGGGGACAGGGGCGCGGGAGCAAACACAGGCTTGGGCCTTGGCCATGCACAAGAACCCTCGAGGATGGATTTAGTTCACATCCAGGGCTCTAAAACAAGCGCTGTGGCTGCGTAGGCGTTGGGTGGAGAGGGCTTTGGTCATTTTCAGTGGTTCCCCACTGCCTTGGGGACATAAGCTTCTGAGTGTGGGATGGATGCCTTGATTTTGTCCCCAGAAGAAAATAATGATTCCCTCACCTTTGCAGACAACTGTGAGCCCCCTGGCAGCGCAGATTCCCGCTGGTTCCCAACCTTCCCTCTCTAGTCTGGGAGAGCATATTCTTCCCCCAGCCTCCCCTGAGCAAGGCTGCGGCCACTCAGGACTCCTCGGCCACTGAGGGGTCGGACACCTGGGTCACATCTGGGCTCCTGGTCGGCCCCCCCCCATCCTGCCCAACACCTCCACTGGAGGGGCCGGACTCGTGCTGTCCTAGACCCAGTCTCATTCTCTCTACCCGTCCTCTGCATGTCGTCCTCCTCCCCTCCCGGCCTGCTCCTCTTTGCCTTCTCTCCCCTGCCTGCTTCTCACTGTTTAATTGCACTATTACTTCCCTCTCCCCGCCTCAGTCTTCTGTGTCTTTGTTTCTCTCTTTGCCGGCGTCCTGCCCTCTGTGTATCTCGGCTCAGCTCTCCCTGTTGGTTATCATTTCTCTCTCTTCCACTGTCTTTCTCTCTCCTTTCTCTGCCCTCCTCTCTTATCTTGTATCCCCGGCCTCTCTGCTTCTCTCTTTCTCTCCCTCACCCTCTCTCCTTCCCTTCAGCTCTCGGCAGCAAGGTGGCTTCCCTCTGACCTGGGGCCTTGCTACTTCCTGCTAGAGGACAGACAGTGCTATGGGGACGAGGGCCGACACCCCATTCTACAACCTGGCAGACATCAGGCCCTGTAGTGCAGGGTATACAGGGGGCGCTGGCTCAGCCAGCCTGAGAGGCTGGGGACCAGGCTGGACCCCCCGGTTACTGCCAAGAATAGCGCTTTCCATCGTGAGCCGAGTGCAGCACAGAAGCGCGGGCCTGCCGGCACCCTGGGCCTCCTGACCACCCTGACTCCTTCCTCTATGGCCACAGCCAGGGTGGGCTTGAGGGTCCCTGCTGGGCCCAGCATCGGCCATTAAAGGGGCGCCCCCAGCAGCCAGGGGACCTGTGTTTGACTCCTGCCTCTGCCACGAGGCCGTGGTGACTTTGATCAAAGTCTCTGCCCTGCTTGCCTCTGCGCCTGCAGTGACTGGTGACCTCCAGTATCTCTGTCAGGTGCTACACAAGAGCAAGGTGACACTGTGTGCAGGAGAAATGGTCTACAAAGCAGAGGCAGGTTTCCACGGCCCCTTCCGGGTGCTAAGCATGACACCAAATGCTTTTCCCTTATCACCTTTGTCAGTCAGAGGTTCTGATCGGTGCTTGTGTTATACCCACTTCACAGATAAGGGAGGCCAGGGCACGGAGAGCTCAGCGCCCACCCAGGAGAACAGGCAGGCCAGTCCTGGGTCTTTGTGCTTCTTCTATGCCATCCGGTGTTGGCCCTGGTCTGGGGCTCTCACCCTCCTCTCCTGGCAGGCCCTGAGTCTTCCCACGTTCAGGCGGGCTCAGCATCCAAGACCTGGGGCCTGTTGCTTTGCCCACATTGGGCCCCATCCTTTGCTGGCCCGCCCGGAGTCCCTGCTGACTCCCATCATCTGACCTCAGGGACAGAGCTGGTGGCCAGGAACATGGCAGCTGCCGGGAGAATGGTGGTGAAGGAGAGAGACAGAGAAACAGGGTCCAGGGGGGACAGCACAGATTGTACACGAGGGAGCGGATGTCAGAGCCCCTGTGGTCTAATTCTCTCATGCCACTAATGAAGAAACCGAGGCGCAGGAGGACAAGTGACTTGGACAAGATCCTGTGACAGGAATTCACAGTGGAGCTGGGCCAGAGGGACCCAAAAGAACACTCAGCCAGGTCACCTGCAGGCCGACGCTCCAGTCCCGGGCAGGGTATGTGGGGGTATCTCATGGGTTCCTGCCTTGTCTCCGGGGGTCCAGGATCCCTGTGGAGCCCAGCTCTGCCTTGTGGTCCACTGGCTTGGGGCCAGCTCTGCCTCAGCGGCTTCCTGCTCCTGGCTCCCCACAGCACAGCCTCCCCCTTTCATCCTGAGCGGAGGCCCAGGAGGGCGAGGCAGGAACTGTGCAACAGGAGGAGGCAGGGCGGCCACCGGAACCGGGGCCAAGATGCCTGTGTGGGGGCCACCCACGGAGCTGGGCGCCAAGGCTTTGCCGTCTGGGGCAGTTCCTCGCACCCCTTGGCAATGAGCCCCCCACCAAAGGGTGGGAGCAGGGGTGGGGAGGACACCGTGCCGGGGGCCTCTGCTCAGAGCCTTTGACTGACTTGGGTCCTGTGATCTCCCTCAGAGCAGGGAGTCTCAGGGTTCAGCCCCATTTGCAGATGAGAAATTGAGACCTTTCCTCACGTCTTCCGGCCCACTTCCTCTTCTCTCAGATGGGATCAGGACCGATATCTTTCTAACCCCAAAGCCAAGCTCTCAGAAGTTCTTTGCAAATGATTATTTAGTAATGAGCACTTTTATTATGAGTGATGACAAAAGTGATAAAGATGCATAGTGCTTTTTCTATCACTGGAACAGGTACAGATGCCAGTCATAGGATCGCATTTATCCTCACAACACCCCGATCGCTCAGGCTGAACCTCGTCACCCTGTTGCACTCACGTATGCTCAGGGAAACTGAGGCTTGGAGAGGTTGGGGACCACGCCGAAAGCTCCCTGGTCAGTTAGAGGAGGACGCGAGTCGGGCTGCCCGCCTGCATCTTTAACCTTTCGTTTTCGTGGTCACCCTTCATCAGTGTCACGAGGGTGATCAAAGCTGCATTTGACCCCCGCGCCCCCAGAGGGATGGATGCGCTCATTCACGGGGCCCCAGGGAAGGGTTCGCAGGTCGTCCGGGTGGCATTCGGCAGGGCTGGATCTCACCATGGCTGAGGGTCTCAGCTCTGCTCTTCCCCCTCGGCCCCTCTTCAGCCAACCTGAGGACGGTGCAGGGGACGGAGGTACCCAGGGAATTCTGCAAGCTCTGGATGTTCAGCAGGTGAACTACAGTTTGCAAAGCATGACTGTGACCAGCAGCTCTCTGCTTCTGCCGGCAGAGCCACCTGGACGCCTCATTGGCTTTGCGAAACTTGCAGGCTGTGGCTCAGTCCACCTCTCCTAGTTCTTCCTTTTAGGACCCCTGAGGCTCCAGCCCAAATGGGCAACTAGCTCTGCCTTGTCCTCGGACCCCAAGACCAGGCCCCTTCACACTCCGGCATAGATGCCTTTCCTCCACCTTACTCTGCGGATCCTCCTCACCCTTCAGAACCCAGCTGAAATGCCCTCTCCAGCAGGCAGCCCCGGCACTGCTCCCGCTGGAGTGGGAGGGGCATGGGAGGGGCGAAGGAAGGAGCAGGTCGCATCGCCTCACGAGAGCATGGCACAGTTTATTTCCATCCCGTCTTACACACTGAGGCGAAGGGCAGTGGCTCGCTCAAGGTCACACGGCTGGTCGGGTTGACTCTGGACTCCGCATTCCGTGCTCACGCTCCTGCTCCGGCCCTGGGGAGCTGACCGAGGCCGACCTTCCACCTCTCACCACCCTCCGTGGGTCTCCCTGCAGGAGGCAGCCTGCCCTGTCCACTCCCAGCTAAAGCCAGAGCTGCTGACCCCTCAGCCCTGGGGCTGTGGCCAGGGCTGGCTCTGTTTCTGCTGCTTCACTTGCGGACTTGGGGCTTTGCCTGCCAGGGGCCCCTCTCTGCTCCCTGCCTGTAAGAGCCTGGCCTTCGTGGGTCTCAGTTCTGCCATGTTCTCTGGGCCCGCCCCGCTAAGTCTCAGGTTTGGGGGGCTGGGCTCAGAGATTGGAGGGAACATCCTGGGAGGGGGTGGCCGAGGTCCCCAGTCCCATGCCGTCCTGAATGCCATCCTTGTCCTAACCAGGATCAGGCCCCACATGCCCCGACTGGTCCCTGTGAGCCTCAACTGGGCGCAGCACTTCCTGTAGACGACAGTTGCTCCAGCCCCTCAGCTGAGCACCCCACCCTTGGGGGGCTGATACCCTGGTAACCACACCCAGTCCTGCAGGGAGCAGATCTCTCCACACAGTGGGACTCAGAGGCACTGGGACCCAGCGTGGAGCAAGTTGTGAGGTGGGGACAGCACGCGCTGGCCCCAGATGGAAAGGACAGCAGAGGGACGGGCCAACGCGGAGGACCCTGCCCCTGCCCAAAGCAGCAGGGAGTTGTGTGGTCTCATCTTCTTCTCCTGCGCAAGAAGAGGCCAGCACAACGCTGCAGTGCACCAAGTGGGCAGGACACTGGAGGGTAGGGAGCGGCCAGGAGGGTGGTCTGGGAGGGTGGCGGAAACGGGGCAAACCAAGCCCCCAGAATCTTCATCCCCACCCCCACTGAATCCCTGCCTCCCTGGGGGAGGGCCCAGAATGCCCGTTTCACAGAGGATCCCACCAAGCTCAGAGGGGGGCAGGGACTTGCCCAGGTCACACGTACAGAGTCTGGATTTGAACTCAGGTCTTTGGATCCCAAACTTGAACTAGTCCATTCTCTGGCAGAGATTGCACTTGTCTCCTGCCCACTTTCTTTGACTCTGCCTGTGTTGGGGGGTGGGGTGGCTTTGAATTTGTTATCAGCCTTAAAGACCTGGAGGACTCACATGAAGGTCCAGGCTTACAGAATGTCTGGGAGAACCCAGAGGTCTTCACAGTGCTCGGCGGTGCTACATGGAGGGCCACCTTGCCCTGACCTGGGCTCTCCCTGACCCATCACCTCCCTTCCCTGCCCGGGCGAGCCTCGGGGTGTGCACCCAGTTTTACCTGTCCTGCTCCACCCTGAGCCCCGGAAGGCTCCCACCCCTCACCCCTACCGGATGCTGACACCTGCAGCCTCCTCTGCCCCACCTCTCCTCTCCTGCACAGGTGGCGGTGTGGGATGAAGAGGGCTTCCGGGGCCGGCGGCACGAGGTCACAGCTGAGTGCCCCAGCGTGCTGGAGCTGGGCTTCGAGACCGTGAGATCTTTGAAAGTGCTGAGTGGAGCGTGAGTGTGTGTGTGTGTGTGTGTGTGCGCGCGTGTGCGTGTGTGTGTGTGTGTGTAGGGTGTAGTCAGTGTGATGGGGTGGGAGGACAGGAAAGGACCTAAAGAGGGGTTCTGGGGCTTCCAGACAGTTTCAGCCTTACCTTCCCAGCCTGCTGCATCGGCCCCCAGACAGCCCCTGCTCCCGTCTGAGCCCCATCCCCCTTTCTTCAAGAAGCAGAAGCTAAAGGAACAGTTGCCAAGGTTGGTGCCCCTGTGCCCTCCTGAGGGACGGAGGAGGGTGCGGCACTGCTGTGCGAGCTCACACAGGTTGCTCCCCGGCCAGATGCAGGGGTGCCCTACACACGGTACCTGCCCACTGGCTGAGACAACTCCCCTGGGTTTAAAAGTAACCCTCTTGAGGGCTGAGGATGTAGCTCAGTGGTTCTGCTGCCTGCCTCGCAAGGTCCCGAGTTCGATCCCCAGTACCAATCAATCCCCCTTAGGCATAACAGCCAACCTCACTCACCAAAAGTACAAGGCAACTGTACAAACACGGTTGTTTAAAATGCTACGAATTTTTGGCTCAGTGCTGAGATGATGAATATGATCTTTCTTTGGGGGGACGGAGGGGTCGGGGTCAGGATCAGGCTGGTGGCCACAGTGGTAAGGAGACAGGAGCCTGGGCAGAGTCAGACCACATTGCCACACAGGTGACAAACACAAGGTGGATGTGGGGTCATCTCCCTGCAGCTGAGGAGCCGCTGCTGCCCTCCAGCTCAGCGCACTCTGTCCCCTGCCGGGTGTCAGGTGCAAGCCCCACATCTCATGAGACCCAGAGGGGCAGAGAGATGTGGCGCCTGGGTAGTGCCCCAGGGCTGCCCCCTCCCGCGTCCCGGAAGGGTCACCAGGAATCCCTTAGGTGGCCCTTGGTGAGCCCTGTGTGCCTAGTGTGCGGGGCGGTGTAGGTGCAGGTCGGCTGGGCACTGTTGTGGGACAGAGGTCCTCCACCTATGGGGCACACCCGGAGTTCACGGGCTGCGGGGTCTAGGCAGCACCTGCGCCCAGCATTCCTGATGCTCTGGGTCAAGTCCATCTTTGTTGAGGGCTCTTCTGTGCACTGTAAGACGAGGTTCCAATCCATGGCCTGGCGGGGGGACTGGCGGTACAGCGGGAGGTGAGTGGCAGACCCGGGAGCAAAGCTTTATTTGTGTTTACTGACACTCCCTAGGGCTCCCATCACCACCTGAGCTCCCCTCCTGTTAGACCAGTGCTGCATTAGATTCTCACAGGGGCTCAAACCCAGCTGTGAACGGCACACCCCAGGGATCTCGGTGGCTGACTCCTTTGATGCATCCGGAAGCCATTCTCCGCCTTGTGTGCCCACCGCCCAACGGTACGAAAACTCTTCCGAGAAACCAGTCCCTGGTGCCAAAGGGCTCAGGGACTCCTGTTATACGAGGCTCAGCAGCGTCCCAGCCCTCTGTGGACTGAAAACTGGTGCTGTTCTTCCCCGAGCGACAGTCACTTGAGTGAGTGCACCGGCCTGGGACCCACGGCTGGGGGTCCCACCTCCCCGTCCTGCCTCCCCACATCTGCTGCTGGGTAGGCTTTGAGCATGCGGCTTCCAAGGGCAGCGGTACATGCTGGAGCGGGGTGACTACCCTTGCTGGGATGCCTGGAGCGGGAACACGGCCTACCCCATGGAGAGGCTCGCTTCCTTCCTGCCCGTGGTCTGCACGGTGAGTCCTTCCACCTGGCCCCCTGAAGACCTGAGCCCCACTAGCGGGCTCTAGGCCAATCAGACATCCAGAGTTCAACTTCTCGCGTCCCCTCTTCAAACCATGTGACAACACAGGCAGTCTCATTCCATGAGGCTCCCAACCCCTGATGTCTGCAAAACACCAGGTGTGGTCAGTCCCACTTTTAGATGTGGAAATAGGGGCTCAGACATACCCCTTGCCACGTCTCAGCTCGGACGCCTGGTAATTCTTTCTACCAGCCACACAATGCCCCTGTTCACCATCAGACCCTGTTGTTGGACATCCAGGTTCACGCCCCACTCCTTTTCTGTTATGATGCATATTCTTTTAGTTCTTTTCTGTTCCATGATTACTTTCTTTGTGGAAAATTCTGGAAGGAAAGGTGACAAACCTCCTGTAAGTTTTGAGTCGCTGCTGTCCTTTTGAGAGGCTGGCCAAGGAAGCTGATTTGGAGACAAGGGCAGGACCGAGGGGCCGTGGATACCCAGAAGTCTGCCTCTGGGTACCCAGAAGAGCACTGGGTGGTCTGGCTGTCTCCTGTCTGTGTCTGTAGAACCACCGCAACTCCAGGCTGACCATCTTTGAGCAGGAGAACTTTCTGGGCAGGAAGGGAGAGCTGAGTGACAACTACCCCTCCCTGCAGGCCATGGGTTGGGACAGCAATGAAGTGGACTCCTTCCACGTCCACGCGGGGGCGGAAGTGGGCCCAAGGCTCTGCTTGGCAGGGCAAAGACAGGGTGTTGGGAAGGACAGTCCATGACTTATGAAAACTGTGCTGGGGGCTGATGCCCACACTTCAGAGCACATGGAGGCGTGTGGAGGTCTCGGGCAGAATTTATGGGACTGTGGGTAATGGAAACCCAGACTAAGCTTGTTTAAACCTAAATGATGTTTAGCGACCCTGGTACTTGGCTTCAGTTATGGCCGGATCCAGGTACTTTCTCCCTCTATTGCTCTGCCTGCCTCGGTGTGCTACATTCTTAGATTCACTCTTCCCATTTAAAGGCAAAGGTGGCAGCTTCCCTTTACATTCTAGCCCCGGGGAGAGACCATTTCTCAATGGAGAGATCAGATTCCAGGAAAGGTGTTCATTGAGCCAACATGAGTCACATGCTTCATTCTGAACTAATCTCCATGCCCCAAAGAATGGAATGCTCTGATTGGCTAGACCTCGTCACACGCACCTTGCTGCCTTCAGCTCTATTTTCCCACCTTAACCTAGAGGGGAGGGATGGCAGGATCTTTGGCCACAATAGGGGAGGGAAGGTGGATGTCCAGCCGTAAAGACACCAGTGCAGAGCCAGCAGGTCTCTCAGTCCGACAGCAGAGAGGCGACTAAATCCAGCTTCCAGCTCAGGATCGTTCCCTCTTCCCCCGAGAGGGGGCAGATGAAGGCCCAGATGTGGGTTCCCCATTTAGGGGACATCAGAGCCGCCTTCCCAGATGCCCTTTGCCTCCTACAAGGCAGTGATGAAGGTGGGAGGTATGCTATTTTTTCTTCCATTAGTTTTCTGAGGAAGCGACCGAAGAATCCCATTACTTCAGAATAAGATGCCCCTGTGATTCTCGAGTCTGTCCCTCTCTTTTATAGATAGAAAAATGAGAAGACAAAGTCTAAACAGCACTCTGTCCCAAAGAATATCGAGATCAACACATTAAAACGATAGGTCTTTTCTTGGAAGTGGCTCTGGGAAAGGGAACAGAGGAAAGAGCCTTCCTTCCTTCATTGGTCTAATATTTATGGGCTCTTCCTCACGTCTACCAGGAGAGGGGGCATTAGGCACTAGAGCTGGAGCTGAGCAAGCCAGCAGGAACGGCTGGCAGAGGAGGCTCACACTTCATAAATAATTTTAACATTGTTGAATTCAGTGAGTGCTACAAAGGGACCATCGGGGATGTGGCCTAATCTTGGGGTAGGTCAAATGGCCCTGACAAAGTCTTGATTGCAGTAGGACCCAAAGCACAGATACAGCTGAGTCATGCAAAGACTGGCCAGAGGGGGAACATCTTCGAACTTTGAAGGAAAACTGCATGCTCATGCTCAAAGGCCCTGTGGCTGGGGAGAGAGCTGACATACTCCAGGTGATGGAGTAAGGCTGGGATGGCTGGGCTGTCCTTCAGGATGCACTGGTGCCTCTGCAGGGTAACCCTCCCTCTCTTCCCTTTTCCAGGTGGGTGTGCTCCCAGTTCCCAGGCTACCGAGGTTTTCAGTACGTGCTGGAGAGTGATCACCACTCGGGTGATACAAGCACTTCCGGGAGTGGGGATCTCACGCCCAGACCTTCCAGGTGCAGAGCGTGCGCAGAATCCCAGAGTGAGTCTGGCAGAAGAGCTCATGTGTGTGCATACCTGCCAGTGTAGCTCTGGCAGCTGCCATGTGCTCTGTTCTTCTCCACCCTCGTGCCCCCTTGGAGCCCAGCCCCCATGCTAGCCGATGATGGTGGTAATAAAGAGACGGCCCAGTATTAGCTGGAACTTTGCTGATGTTCCCAACCAGTTTCTCTCTGTCTCTCTCTCTTTTTTTCTTTTGACTCATGGGTTATGTAAAGGTATATTATCCAAATCCCTAATACTTTGAGATTTTCTGGATCTCTTATTTTTCTTGATTTGCAAAACTCCACTGTGGCCAGAGAATGTAGTCTATAAGATTTTATTCTGAGAAGTAAATTGAACCTTATTTTGTGTTCTAGTGTACAGTACCTTGTTTATGGGCTGGAAGGTAAAGTTGAAAAGTATTTATATTCTGTAGTTATAGGGTATAGTGTTCTGTAAATATCAATTTGTGAAGTTAATAGTGTTGCATAGTTATATAATATGAAATATATACATATATATAGAGTGAGATCAAATCCAGAGCCTTGCAAATGCTAGGCAAATGCTTTATGACTGAACTACACCTCCAACCCATTTTATTTTATTTTGAGACAGTCTTGCTAAATTCCCCACGCTGGCTTTGACTTTATGATCTTCCTGCCTCAGCTTCCTGAGAAGCTGGAATTGCAGGCATACTCACTGTGCCTAGCCTAAGAAAAAAAATTTTTATCAGTTATCAGAGCTGTTTATATCTCCTACTATGATTTAGATTTATCATTTTTTTAGTTTTGTCAGTTTTTGCTGCCTATTTTTTCTTCAGGGGTTTTGAAGCTCAGTTCTTTGGTGTACATATATTGATGATTGCTGTGTTTCCCTGATAAATTGTTCGTGGCTTGTTGTTTTGAAAGCCAAGCATAAAGGAAGCTGGTTATGTCTCCCAGCCTAATTTCTGCTGTCGCTCCCCTTTCTCCTTGTTTCCCTGTCACTTGTACTCTTCAGGAGCCTCTCATTTAATCCCTGCTACCCTCCAAAGAAATCCGTAAAACAGAGAAATAACTCGCAGCCTGAGTGGAGCTGTCTGTGTGTCAGTCTTTTCTCGTCTGCTCCTCCCTCTCACCTGCTCCCTCCTGGCTCCTTACTGCACTGACTGCCTACCCCTTGCCCATTCGCCCTCTGGCCGTCCTCTCCGGCCCCGCCTTTCCTGGCCCATGTCTGTCCCTCATAGAATCTTCCAGATCAAGGTCAGCATTTCTCAGAAGGCAAGAGGTTTATGCGCTCTGTTCCTAATCACCTCTCCCTGAAGGAATGTTTCAGTACTACAGGTACAATGTATAGTGTATCTGTGCGTATACTACGTGTACCTCTGGAGGAGGGCTTTATTTTCTGTTCCTGAAGAATCAGTTTGCATCTCTTGGGGCGCTGCTGCCCACTCCCACCCCGTTGGGAGGTGTAATTTTGTGTCGTTTATTTTCTCTTTTTTTCCTCGCTGAGTTTATTGGCACATTTTAGGTGTACAGTACGGTTACAGTCATCACTGGGATCCTGTACCTTTCCATGACAGGTCTCGGCTCTCATTTTTTCCCCTTGTCCCTGCTCCCCTTCACCCCTCCTCCCTTCCCTATTTACAAACACTTTATTTCCATTTTTTCATTTTCTCATATTTTTTTCTTTTCCCTTATTCCCTTTCCCTTACCCTTCCCACTTTCCCTACACCTTCAGCCCTTTTCCTCCTATTTCACATTGTCAATTACACCATTAAGATCTTATGTACCATTACAGTTTTTCACACCAGAGAAACTATTCTGTATCTGTACGTGTCTGACTTATTTATTCCACTTAGGAGTATATCCTCAATATGTATCCGTTTTCCTATGAGTGGCTCTTGTCTTATTTCTTTTCAACATGCACAGAGATGGAAACCCAGGAGGGGGTAAGGACCTGCCTAAGGCCATACAGCAAGATAAAGGCAAAGACAGGATTAGAATGCAGGCACATCCATTCATTCTTCCGTCTGTCCATCCATCCACCACGTCCATCCAATGTCTTTTATGTAGGGAACATGATTCCAGGTTCCGAGGCTGTCATCGAGCAAAACAGACAACAGTATCCGCATATGGGACTCACATTCTAGCTTCTGGGGATGTGCTACCCCACAGAGCCCTCCATGGTTCTTCTGTCGAGGTTTTTCAAAGATTCTTTCCGGGCTGTTGTTTCTTGCAGGGGGAAAAAATTCTCGTGCAGGATGCCCCAGAGCCTGCAGTTGAACATGTCTCGTGACTCACTGGAAGGGAGCATATTCAGAGTCTCGCAAACTTACCTGAACACCCATCACTCCTTTTTTGGTGTGAAAGGGAGTCCGGCATGACCGGGGACTCGTAGAGTGTGAGGTGGGAGCTGCTGTGTCAATGGTGGCAGCCATTCACAGCCTAGTATGAATTGTTTTCCTAAAGCACTTTAAGAAACGGGCTGTAGAAGTGCAAGCGTTGTGTTGGGGAAGTAGTACTGTCCAGGAAGTGTTCTCATGGTCCATCCTAGCAGTGGGCAGTAGGAAGACATGGTGAGGTCTGTGTAGAGAGGGCCTTGAGTGAGCCGTGGGATGTGAGGCTGTGCTGAGGCCTCGGATGGGGCTTGGCTGGCCACCACCTTCCAGGCAGGTGCCCCTGACACTGAGCCGCTGAGACACCACAGCCCAGAGCAGCAGCGTTGGGTTGGCACCCCAGGCTCACAGCCGTAACCGCAGTGTCCTCTGCTGACCGAGGGACACGGGGCTTGTGCCTCTGCTTGTGAAAGGTGAGAGGCAGCCGCGCCCTCGCCCAGGCCCAGGGCGAGGGCAGGTGTTAGCCTTCTTCTCAGAATGGCTTGTGTCCTGCCCCATCTCCGCCCCAACCGCCCACCTTGGTCGCTAACAGGGACGGAAAGATGCTCATGGTAGATGTTGTTTGTCCCTTTCACATGAGATGCAAACCTACCTCACAGCAGCCTTTAGACATCATTATTATTCCCTTTAAACCCATCAGAATTTGAAGGGTCAGAGAGGTCAAGCATCTCATCCAAGACCACCCACCCTACAAGAACATTAGGGGTTGCACAAGATTTGGGGGATGAATTTAAAAAAAAAATTTTTGGGCACTGAGATTGAACTCAGGCCGTTGAGCTCGCAAGGCAGGTGGCAAAGCCACTAAGCTAAATCCCTTGCCCTTTTGTGGGGTGAATTAAAGAGTGAATGAGTACAAATGGGCTTAACAAATAGTACCATTCTGCTTCAAAACGGCTACAAAAGCAGCCCCTCACACTTTAGTAGGAATAACTATAGCTTTTCTACAGGAAGTCCTCAGATCCCTGGAGAAAGGCAGAGAAAATTTGGTGAAGGAAAAAGGAAGCAAAGAAGGAGAAAAAAAAAAAAAAAAGAAGAAGAAGAGGGAAGGGTAGGAGAGGGAGGAAATTAGGATTTGATGGCAGCTCTAGGAAGAGGCAGCCCCAGCCGGAACCAGGAGTGGGACTAGCAACCCTAACAAATGGGACCCCAGATGTGGGATGGCGCCGAGTGACAGGCCATAAAGAGACAATTTGTCAGGGGTGATCTTGGGAGGGAAGGAAAGGGAGCGTGAAATTATTTTCCCTATCTTGCCAGGAGACCAATTTTCCTGGGTTATGATGGAAAACACTTAAATTATTGATGCCGTTTGGTCCGAAGTAAGTGGCAGGCTAGGACACCCATCCCCCGAGCACTGTGCTCACGCAGGCGGCCTGGCCACGGGCTCGGGCCTGGGGACCCCACCCCGGCAAACGCTCGGCCCACAGAGAGGCAAGGCCTTTCTCCCGAAGCCACAACTTGCACAACTCCCAGCAGCCTCAGCGCTCAGTGCCCTCTCCCTGGATGAGCCCCCCGACGGTGCCCCGAGTCCTGGACGGCTTTGCCACACCGAGCCTCAGTTTCCCCTTTGGGGAGGTTATGGACGGGCGGGGCAGCAGACATCGGGAAAGTGTGGGGAAAATAAGAGGCTCCCGAAGGGGAGGTAGCTCTGGTTCTCCCCCGGGTCCCCTGCAGCCCTTCCATCTAGTTGCACGGCTCTCATTCTTGTCCCTGGGAAGCCACGGATCCCCCCACCCCATGTGGCTGCCCCACAGAGCACCCCTAGGGTCAAAGATCCAGGGACAAGGCCTGCAGTGGGAGAGCCTTCGGAGAGAGGAAAGAAACACTTGGTAGAGGGAGAGCGGTGTGTGTGTGTGTGAAGATCTCACACATTTTGGGTATGTTTAGGGGGGGAAGAAAGGAGAGAGAGGGAGAAATGGAGAGAGAGAGAGAAAGAGAGGGAGAGGGGGGGAGGGAGAGAGA